GTCCTGCATCATTTAAAAGGATATTTTTCTCTATCTCTTGTGTATGTTTGTGTGTGTGTGTGTGTTCAATTTATAGTTTAATTTTGTAAGTAAAATGCAATTATAATGCAACTTGACTGTATTTAATTGAAGACTGATGTCTTTTTTAGAGGTACCTGATAATTATAACAGAACTTATTTCTTTTTTAAGAAGAAAAATGGTTATTTTGTTTGAATGGTTATTTTTGTTTAGAAGTTCTAGATGATCCTAATGGTAGAAAAACAAAGTTGAGCTAGGATTAGTTACTTGTATGTTAGAAAACCTGGATTAAAACACTTGGCCTACCCACAAATTTGATAACCTAGGTGAAATGGACCAACCCCTTAAAAAATGCAATTTGCAAAAGAAGATATAAACAATTTAAATGAATATATACCTATTAAAGAAATTGAATCAACAATTAATAACCTATCAAAACAGAAAGAACAAGGCCAGATGGTTTCACAGCTGAATACTACCAAACATTAAAGGATGAAATTTTACCAATTCTCTACAATCTCTTTCAGAGGATAAGAGCAGAAGGCAAACCTCCTAACTCATTCTGAGGCCAGCATTACCTTAATACTAAAACCAGACAGTAAGAAAACTATAGACCAAAATCTCTCATGAACATAGATGCGAAATCTTCAATAAAATATTAACAAATTGAATCCAACAATGTATACAAAAGAATTACATACTATGACAAAATGGAATGTATGCCAGGTACACAAAACTAGTCCAGCATTCCAAATCACATCAACACATGTGTTACATATGTGTTATTTATCACATCGACAACTAAAAAAGAAAAATTGCATGATCAAAGCACTAGGTGCAGAAAAAATAATTTGACAAAATCTAAAACCCATTCATGATATATATATATCATATATAGGAATAGAGGGGATTTTTCTCAACTTGATAGAGAATATCTAAAAATACCTACAGCTACCATGGTACTTAATGATGAAAAACTCAAAGCTTTCCCTCAAGATCAGGTAAAAGGCAAAGATTTACCCGCTCGTCTCTCATTTTACATATCATACTAGATGTTCTAGTCAATGCAATAAAACAAGAAAAGGAAATAAGAGGTGTCTTGAATAGGGAGGAAAAAATAAAACTGTCTTTGGGTGCAGATGATATATGATCATTGATGTAGAAAACCTTAAAAACACACAAAAACTCCTGGAACTAATAAGTGATTATAGCAAGTTTGCAGAATAAGAGGTTAATATAAAAAAGTTAATCACTTTGCTATGTACCAGGAAGGAATGAGTAGAATTTAAAATAAAAACATAATTGCATTTACACTAGATTTGAAAAAATGAAATACTTAGGTATAAGCCTAACAAAATAGGCACAAGATCTTTATGAACAAAACTACAAAAAGAAATTATAAAATCAAAGAAAAACTAACTAAATGGAAAGATACTCTAGGTTTAAAGAAGGGAAAACTCAATATTTTCAAGATGTCACTTCCTCCCAAATTGATCTACAGATTAATGCAATCCCAATCAAATCCCAACAAGTTATTTTGTGGATATTGACAAACTGGTACTAAGGAAGAAAGGCAGGCAGGGACAAGCCCCCTCCCTAAGAGGAAGCCACACTTACGAGATTTTACATCACCCTCGAAGAAGTCTTCCACCCTTTCCCATTTGAACAACTACCTGTTAGGCAGATGAGCGTGTGAACAAAAACCTGATTGGGTGGCAGGCGCATGGAGGGTTAATCAGATTAAAACAACCTTCCAACAAGTCCATAAACCCCTAGACTTAACAAACAAACAAACAAACAAAAACCTAGACTTAAAAACTCCAGTGGCAACCCTCTTGAGTTCCCTCCCTCTTTGGGAGCTTTGTACTATTACTCAATAAACTTTACTAATGCTCAATAAATTTTGCTTTGCTGCCCATCACTCTTTATTTAGTCTACCTCTTCATTCTTTGAAATTGCACAACCATGAACCACAGCACCGAAGGAAAAGAAATCCTGCAACAATACTAAAGTTTTTATGGAGACGCCAAAGACCCAGATTAGCCAACACAATATTAAAGAAGAACAAAATTGGAGGACTGACATTACCCAACTTTAAGGCTTACCATAAAGCTACAGTTATCAAGACAGTGTGGTACTGGTGAAAGAATAGAACAGAATGGTAGCTCAGAAGTAGACCACCATTAATATAGTCAAATAATCCCTGACAAAGGAGCGCAATGGAGCAAAGATAGTGTCTTCAACAAATGGTGCTGGAATAACTGGACATCTATATGCAAAAATTAATCTAAACACAGATCTTACACCCTTCACAAAAAGTAACTCAAAGTAGATCACAGACCTAGATGTAAAACACAAAACTATAAAACTTCTAGAAAATAACATGGGAGTAAACCTCGATGACCTTGAGTAATGCAATGGCTTTTTAGATACAACACTGAATGTACAAACCAAGAAAGAAATAATGAATAAGCTGGACTTCCTTAAAATTGAAAACAGCTCTGGAAAAGACAATGTCAAGAGAAAGAGAAGACAAGCCACAGAATGGGAAGAATTATTTGCAAGAGATCTGATAAGGACTGTTATCCTTTTATTTGTTATCAAAATTTATAAAGAACTATTAAAACTCAATAATAATAAATAAACAAAAACCCCAATTAAAAAAAATTGACCAAAGACCTTAACAGATACCTTTCCAAAGAAGATATACACCCGGAAAATAAGCATATGAAAATATGTCCCATCATATATCATTGGGAAAATGCAAATTAAAAGAACAAGATACCACTATACACCTTTTAGAATGACTATAAACTGGATCATTGATAACACAAATGCTGGCAAGGGTATGGAGCAAGAGGAACTCTCATGTCCTGCTGATGGGAATGCAAAATAGTAAGTAAAGCCACTTTGGAAGACAATTTGGAGGTTTCTTTTTTTTTTTTAATTTTTTTTTTTTAAGATTTTATTTATTTGGGAGAGAGAGAATGAGAGACAGAGAGCATGAGAGGGAGGAGGGTCAGAGGGAGAAGCAGACTCCGAGCTGAGCAGGGAGCCCAATGCGGGACTCGATCCCGTGACTCCAGGATCATGACCTGAGCCGAAGGCAGTCGCTTAACCAACTGAGCCACCCAGCTGCCCCAATTTGGAGGTTTCTTATAAAACGAAATGCATTCTTACCATATAATCCGGCAACTGTACTCCTACACATTTACCCAGAGGAGTTGAAAACCTATAACCACACAGAAATCTGCACACACACATGGTTATTGCAGCTGTGTCTATATGTGACAAAACTTAAAAGCAACCAAGATGTCTCTTAGTAGGTGAACAGATAAAGAACCTGGTACATTCAGACAATGGAATATTACTCAGTGCTATAAAGAAATAAGCTATCATGCCATGAAAATGAATTTAGAAACCTTAAATGCATATGACTAAGTGAAAGAAGCCAATCTGACAAGGCTACAATGCATAGGATTCCAACTATATGACATTTTGGAAAAGGCAAAAGTATGGAGACTGTCAAAAAAAAATACAGTATTTTCCAGGGGCTTGGGGGGGGGATGAGGTGGAGAAAGGGGGATTATTAGGCAGAACGCAGAGGATTTTTAAGGTAGTGAAAATACTCTCTATGAGACCATAATGATAGATACATGTCATTATTCATTTGACAAACCCACAGAATGTACAACACCAAAAGTGCAACCAAAGGTAAACTATGGACATTAGATGATCATCATGAGTTACTGTAGGTTCTTCAATTGTAACAAATGGGATGTTGACAATGGGGGAAGCTAAGTGTGTAGGGTAAGGGATATATGTGAGATTTTTGTACCTGCCCCTCAATTTTGCTGTGAACCCAAAACTGCTCTAAAAAATTCTTAATAAAAAATGAAAACAAAACAAAACCACAAATGTACAATAAACTAAAAAAGGGAAAAACCCTTGCTGTACCACTTTTTAGTTGAGTGACTCTAATTAGGTAACATTCTAAATTTTTGCTTACTAATCATAGAAATAAAGGTAAACAGTGTAAAATTCAAGTGAAATTTGTATATTTTCCTTAGAGTGTATTTTTGAAGCATTGTAATAGCTATTTTCATTTAAAATAAATATGCATACAATATACTATGTGTACATATTAAAAAAATCTTAAAAGTTCCTTGTAATAATTTGTTGTAGTACAAGAAAAACACATATATGTGTAATTTTTAACCCCTCAAAAATTTCACTGGATATGTGGAATTTATCTTCATTGTAGGTAGCATATAATCCCATATACTAACACCAAAACACAAAATGAAGTCAGGGAATTTAGCATGTATTTCATCTTACCAAATTATTTCCTCCCTGATATTTTTGTTTTTTTCTTCCATTCTTCTTTTCCATACATATTTGTCCTTGCAATATTTTATGAAGTTGAATCCAGAACTAAAGAGCTACAATTTATTAGTAATTGTTGATTGTTTTAATGATAGACAAAGACCTATGTCTTCCTCAAGTTCCAGTTCTTACCACCTGCTTTGGTAGTTTTGACATTGTTTACCAGTTGTATTTAAAAGTAAAGGATATGGTACAATTATTCAAGGTTCAGGGACTCTGCCAGCTTATCAGTCAATTAAACACTAGTAAGTTCCTTAGCAAACACTCACATGGGCACTGTGAGGAAAGAGAAAGGTATTGATGACAGTCTCTACTTTCAGTTGCTTCTAGTATTTCTCATGTAAAATTGTCATTTCTAACGTTCAGTTTCCACACATCCTAATACCTATAAATGCCTTTCCTTCCAACTCCAAATACTTAGAATTGCTTCTATGATATGGCCAAACTCTGACTCATCAGATCGGTCCCCAAAAGTCAAATCTGTGCCTGAGGCCTTGACCTCTGGGCCAGGCAGATGATTCAAGCTGAGCCAATCAAAAGTCCTTCCTCTGGGATTTAAAAGTGAGAATAAGAGAATCCAGTCTCAGCTGGAGTCAATCTCTTGAACAGGAGACATGTTAACGCACACAATGAGCCACATGGCTCCCTATGGACTAAGCAGCAGGGAAAGCTGATCTACCAGGAGTGCAGGGAAAGAAGGAAGCATATGTCTCAGAAGGTACAAGAAAAAGAGAGAGAAGGGGTTAAGGTGGGGAGAGACAGGGAGGGGGAAAAGGAATTTCCCCATTTCAGAAGGTTCCAATTTTCTTTTGCAGTACCTGCATTGCCTTCCCTTGAGTTCCAAAAAACCTTAGAATAAATCCTCCTTTGTGGCTTGATCTACCTCAAATATATTTTCACTATTGCAACAAAAATTTTCTAACTTAGGTGAACAGCTATGTTTGGGTTTATAGCTCTTATCAAGTAAGTGGATGTGTCCAAAATATGGAAGACTTGTAAGTGAATGATTAAAAACATGTGACTCTCCATATACCAGCTCTCATCAATATCCAGATGCGTCTGGAATTAACAGACACATTCCAGTCCATAACCCCCGGGGAGCATGGCACATTCCCCAGCTGATTCTGGGTTAGAGATATCAGGGTCAGGAGGTTTCTTGGGGCAGTAGATACGCCAAGTGATTTTTATAAGACTCAAGATTATTGGTCTGTTTATATGCATTTCTTAAACCTTTTTGACCCTTCGGGGTATGTCTAATATAATAAATCAAAAACAATCCCTTGCTCCATGAACAGAGTTAGGAGAATGTCTTTTATTAAATTCCAATCCTGGGTGAGCTAAGAAAAAACTTCAGATCAAAATTAAAAGCTGAATAAGTTTCATAAGCTTTGTTATTAGCTATTTTATCAATTGGAAATCCAAAAAATGCTGCATTCCTGACATACTCCATGCGCATCTGGTCTCTCATAATCAGAGAGATCGACAGTAGTGTTAAGATATTTTGAAGGATGCCTGACAAAAAGGCAAAGTTAAAATGACGTCTCATTGCTTAACCTAAGTAGCTAAATCTAGAGAGGAAAATAAAACTCCTCTAGGAAATGCCACGCAGTTGAAGGCAGAACACTTCAAAAGTCCTGAGGAAAGGATCAGAGCTTTAATATAGAAGTTGATTGAAAATGTAAGAACTCCTAAGTGTCTCTCAGAAGGCTAAAGATGAGGAAATTTACACAGAAATCATTTCTCATCAGGGTAGAGGCTTAGTGAACTGAGCGATGGCTCACCTGCAAGACTTGGAGATTCTAGCCTCTGGTTTGAAACTAGGGGTCAGTTGTGCAGCCTTTATGGTGACTTCCTCTCAGAAGTGGCGTTATCAAGAGAGGAAAGAACAATGTGACTTCACCAAAGTGATGATAGAGGAAGGAGATTGGATTCCGAAGCCTAGTTTTGGTTTTAACTTACCCTCTGTGAAAGAATCAGGAGCAGTAGGTAAAGAATCAGTATTCCATGGACTTTTTAATCTCTCTGTTAATTTTGTTATTATCTACATTGTTCTTACGTGAAGAAGATCACTGGCCTCTTCAAAGAAAAACGTCTGCATGGTTGTGTTCACGTGTGGGTGCTGTGGGTAAAGAGGCTGAATGCCACAATGAGGGAATTCAGTTGAAAAGTCACAGGGACATACCTAGATGCAAGGAGGGAAGAATAAGGTGAGTGTCTACAATTGAAAGATAAGGGTTTGGAGACTGTATTAATCAAGAAGTAACTGTAATTACCAGAAAGCCGATGTGTAGTGAAGGAAAGTGGGTATTAAGCTTTAAAGACCAGTGCTGTTTAGTTAAGACTGAGACTGCTGGAGCATAGACATCACTCAGGTCTTCTGCTAGTCACTTTCTGGTTGTATGACTTTTTTTTTTTTTCCTCAAGATATTTCTTAACATTATTGCAAATATACCCCCACTTACACTCACACATTTAATGACTGCAAATTTTACAAAATAAGGATTACATTAGTTTTGTTCACCTTTGTATCTCCTGCATCTAGCATGATGCCTGGGACATAGTAAGACACAATATGTACTTGTTATATGAGTTAATGAATGAAAAACTGCATTAATTGCTCAACTCCTCTACACCTGCAAAGGCATCACAATTCCCGTCAATAGTGATTTCCTTAACTCTTCCTCTGCCTATTTACCCTAACTTTAGATCTTCTTCTTATCACTCAGTATACTCCAAAATAATGTACCTTTGCAACAGCCTCCTGGTATTACCTTTCTCTATATAATATGCTATCAGTCCTTCAGTTGTTTAATATAAGGAAGCTATTTCAGGGCACATGTAATAATCCTTTATGTGAACTGGAAATCCACACACAAAGAAGGAAATAAAAAAGAAATGTTCTCTACTGACCTTGCAGCCTACTTTAAATTTACTTCGATTTAAGGGACTCCATGAAACATAAAAGCTGCGTTTTTCAGCTCCGTGTGGATATACTTCACTACATGAAATATTTGGCTTAGTTCAGTGTCTGAATCCAAAAATATCTCCGTATGTTATGGCTGTTGCTATCTCTTACAAAATTAGCTGAACCGTGGAGATAAGAATGTTCTTATGTTTCACATAAGACGTGCACACCATATATACACACACATGGGGGATTGAGGGGAGAGAGGAGCAGACAAAAACAGAGGCTTTCCTAACAAGGAGCACAAATACAATAGATATTAAAATCATAAATATTCTGCTGCTGATCTTCAGAGCAGTGGGACCCAGTCACAGGAGCCTATATAAATTTCCCCAGTGCTAGTTAAATTAATTTACCCCTGTAAAATCTAAAAAAAGAAAGAGAAAGAAAGAAAGAAAGAAAGAGAGAGAGAGAGAGAGAGAGAGAAAGAAAGAAAGAAAGAAAGAAAGAAAGAAAGAAAGAAAGAAAGAAAGAAAGAAAGAAAAGAAAGAAAGGAAATTGTCTCCATCAAATATCCAAGTTGAGACTAAATATTAATATTTTTGGCTTCTTTAATCATTAAAAGAAATCTGATATTTTACTTTGCAGAATATTTTTAGTTCTATGAGAAAATAGGGTTTGGGAAACTCAATTTTTAAGGGCATCAAGAGAGGATATATAAAAGACCCTATGTAAAAGTAAAATGGTTTAATTTGATCTTATCCTGATTCCGTATAGTTAGAGACCCTTTCAATTAAATCTAATTGCCTCAGCTATTAAGGAGGGCTTGTTCACTCCAAGGAGTAATCCTACAGAACATTAAAAAAACCCTAAAATCAGATAGGTTTAGTTTATTTATGACTCAAGGGGCTGGTAGAAAAATGCAACAACCTGTGGCTTTACCTGGGAAAGTAACCTAGGGAAGGGATGAGAGGACATCTGGGAAACTCTCTCCTCTGTTATCAATAAATGCTTATTCTGTAACTAACAGAAATTAAGACAATACAATTTAATTCAGGAATTTGAATTAAATAGCTCTATTTGCATGCATGATATATTGGACTATTTAAGGTGGCAAAAGATTAAGGGACAGGAAGGTATATAAATACAATGAGTTTACAATTTCATCCTAGTAAAATAATTCTTAAATCCTTAATTCATGCCAATCTATAAAATCCTGCATAAATTCTTACTTGCTGCAAAATGTTCCACAATGGTTACTTATAGAATTGTACTCTGACAACAGGTTATGTATCAATTTTAAGAGGAACAAAACATCTACTTCTATGATGTCAACAAGACAAATACTCATAGAGAGGTTATGCTAGGTTGGATGACCTCCTGGGACAGGAAAAGAAAAAAAAGTCACTTACCTATAGGAAACTAAATCTTGTAAGGCAGATACATGTATCCAATTACCAAAATGTAATGTGATAAGTACTATAGGAACTTGGATGAAAGAGCAATTAATTCTTCACCATCAAGACTAGTTTCAGAAAGATGTCTCTTGAATTGGGCCATGAAAAGAGGAAAAATGTTGGGCGCCTGGATGGCTCAGTCATTAAGCATCTGCCTTTGGCTCAGGTCATGATCCCAGGGTCCTGGGATCGAGTCCCACATCGGGCTCCCTGCTCGGCAAGAAGCCTGCTTCTCCCTCTCCCATTCCCCCTGCTTGTGTTCCTGCTCTTGCTATCTCTCTCTCTGTCAAATAAATAAATAAAATCTTTAAAAAAAAAAAAAGAAAAGAAAAGAAGAAAAATGTCTTCTAAAAGTAGGTTTGTAAAATGCATAATATTTATTCCCAGAAGATGTCCAGAGATTATTTAGGCCCTCCAAATCATATTCCAATCCATTCATTCATTCATTCATTCATTCATTCATTCATTCGATATAATTGACATATAACAGAGATTGGAGGCTGAGCCAATGGAAATAAAATAAGGGATACTTCCTTGACTTTGTCATAGGAATGTTGGGGCAACAGAAAAGATGACCACTTTGTTAAGTACATGTAACTTCTTGGGGCACCTGGGTGGCTCAGTCCTTAGGCATCTGCCTTCGGCTCAGGTCATGATCCCAGGGTCCTGGGATCAAGCCCTACATCGGGCTCCCTGCTCAGCGGGTAGCCTGTTTCTCCCTCTCCTGATCCCCCTGCTTGTGTTCCCTCTCTCGCTGTCTCTATCTCTCTGTCAAATAAATAAATAAAATCTTTAAAAAATATATTAAAAAAAAAGAAATAAAATTGAAAGGAGACATAGGGAAAAAAGTGGTTAAAGAGCCAAGATGATAAAATGATAATAATTACCTTTTTTTTTTTTTTTTGAGGAGGGCAGAAGGAGAGAGAGAATCCCAAGCAGACTTGGTGCTGAGCATGGAGCTGGACATGGGACTTGAAGTCACAATGCTGAGATCATAACCTGAGCCTAAATCAAGAGTCGGACTCTTAACCAACTGAGTCAACCAGGTGACCCAATAACTATAACTTAATGAGTACTCATTTGATACCAGATGTCTCCTTATATTCTTTAAACACTGCACTTCAAACACAAAGTACATACAATCTGCATTTTGTGCATAAGAAAAGTGACTTTTCTCAGCCTGCACCCCACCCCCCACCCCCCCGCCGCCCAGGGAGTAGAAGAGTTGAAGAGCTGGGTTTCACAACTGTGTTTCTCATCTCCCATCACTACCCTCATGTGGGAGACAGGGTCTACTGTGCTGCCATATCATTCATGCTTTAACTTCCACTTAAGAACACTGAGGACTATGAGCAGTATCATAGCAAAATTTAGTAGATTGAGTGCAATGAAAAAATATGTGAATTTTGATATTTTGCAATATCTCCACAAGTTGGATATGTTAAAGATCCAAAAAATGTAGGGTCTCCAGGGTCCACTTTTTATGGTTAAAGATCTTTTCTTCTGTCCGCATGCCCTAATTTTATAATTAAATGCAAACATAGTGACAGAAAAGAGAGAATTAGTTATATACCATATATATATATATATATATATATATATATATATATATATATTAGTTACTTATACCATATATGTGGTATGACAGGATGCTGTTCCTTATTTCATCTCATATAACACAAACACACACACACACACACACACACAGTTACACTTTTATCCTGAGTTTAAAACTCAAGATAGCAAAATAGGCTCTAATTTAGGACACCAGCATTAACCCAGAAAGTCTTCCTTTGTCGTGTCAGAAAACTGCACTACACTTAACAAGTTGTGGCTTAACTTCATTACTTTCATACACTTCATTAGCCTGGAGAAATTTAAGGGGAAATAATCTGTGAGTATATTATAGTTCTGTGGAAAAGATCTCAATCTCTTGAGCTGAAAATCTATTCATAAGATTTTATTGTTCTCACATTTAATGAAGAAGAAATCAAATTACTTTTATTTTCTGAGAGGAAAAATCTCAGATGATGTATTTGGATATCTAATTAAAATGCTTATGTACCTTGCCTAATTAAAACTAGACACTTATTCAAAATAACAGGACATCTAATGCATCTATTTATAAATAACTCAGACGAAATGCCTGGAAACCAGCAGAAGCAGAGTAACTGAACTCTGTTCATGAACTAACCTTCAAGCTCCTCCACCCACTGCCTTTTCGCAGGAAAACTTTGTGTAAAACAAGCCCTGTCCTGAGCAAGCCTTTAAAAGGATCCACAGTGGTGGCATAGCATAAAGGAAAAATCTCTAAAGCTAAGAGTTTGATTTTTTTTTCCCCCAGAGTGTTGTGACCACAACCCAGAAATACATCAGTCATGCTGGGATTAGAAGATGGCTCTTTTTTTTTTTTTTTTTTTTTTTTTTTGTAAGGACTTGAAGGATCTCATGAATGCAAAATGGGCCCAAAGAGCCTGCTTATTCTCTACTTGCTTAAATGTCTTTAATCATAGAAAGAGCCTCTATCTTAGGAGACAGAAACTATTTGTAAAAACCCTGAACAAACCTTGGATGAGAATCTGGGGCATGCTATAACATTTCTAAATAGTTCAATGAATGGGGTAGGATAATGGAATTTTGCCCGGAATATGTAAGAACTCAAACTTGGTTTTATGACTCTTAACAAGAACTTTCCTAGAGCCTCGATCAAAATCCATTAAGTTGCAATCTGCTGTATTCATTGTCTTTATAAACTCTCAGAGATTATTCATTTTATCTCTTCAGGTTTTTTTTAGTATTAAAAGTTACAATTTTAGAGTCAATCAAAAAAGAGAACACATTGCATTTAACTGTAATAATTTTGTATGTCTCCCATGGAAATTAAAGATGTCTATAGATGTTTATGAGAAAAGTGTTTTTTCTACAAGATAATAGGACAAAATTTAGAATAGAGAAGTAATTTTGTGAATTTGTTCTTTCTAAAACAGGCTAACATTTCTGAATGTGTTCACATTGAAAATTTCAAGATCATTCCTTTGGATGAAGATTATATTAGAGAATAGACTGTTAAGAACATTTCCCCTAATGCTCTCTGTAAATTAGTTAAAAGGCTGTCTTCCTTTCTCCTACCTTTCCTCTCTCCCTCCCTCCCTCTCTGTCTGCCTTCCTTCCTTTCTTTTTTACATGTTATTGGGCATCAACTATGTTCCATGAACTGTGTTAGTTTCTGGTGACATAATGTTAAATAATTTAGACATACTATGTGTTCTCCTGGAACTTAAAATCTAGTTGAGGAGTCTGTCCATTTTGTTGATCCTAATGGCCAATTGAATCCATCTTGGAGACCACAAAAATAAAAACCACACTTTCCCTCTTCAAGATGATGAGTATTTCAGTTAGTAAGTGAATATTATCCATAATCAACTTTAACTCCATTTATAAACCATGAAATCAGCTCTACTTCACCTCAAATATCATTTATTCACCAGTAGTCCAAACCCAGATCTCCCCCCAGGTTTTCTTTAGGATTAAAAAAAAAAGAAGAAGAAGAAAGTATAACAACCTCTGAAAGAGCATAACAACCATCTAATTAGCTTAATTTCAGATTTGCTTATGTTTAAGTGAGGTCCTTTTAATTCCAAAGTTGACGATCTGACATACCTTTCTAAGATCTGAATATTCATATTGATTGACTTGTGTTTGTTTCTTTGCAAATTCTGTATCTTGAATTTTTATTAATCCCAGCTTTGAAGTTGAGCTATATCAATTATAAACAAACAGACATAGAAGTTATAATTCACAGAAATTCAGTGGTGTTAAGTAGGCCAAGAACTGTGCTCACAGAATCTCCAGAATTATTTAAGACTCCTTGCAAAGATGCAATTCCACAAAGCTGTGCACTTTATTCACCTGGGACACCTTCTAAAGTTAGCTTCTCCTTGGGTTCTGGAGTGCTACCAGGTTATTCACAGTAGTGAGATGTCTCTGATTTATAGAAGACATTTTCTGAAAGGGATATTCATCCCGAGCATTAGAAAGTCTCCATTCCAGCTTCTAAGAAGGTATGTACAAATAGTCAGCTGTCCTTTTATGTCTGAAGGGCTGAAGTAAATATGACTTCACTTGTCAATGAGGAGGTTGAACATAGTGGTGATGAACACAGACTCTAGAAGCCCATGGCCTTGTTTTAGACTCGTAATTCACTGTTGGGTGACCTTGGGCAACTTGCTAAAACTTTCTGTGTCTTTTTTTCCTCACCTGAAAAGATGATATAATTAATTTTCTCAGAGTTGTCTTCAAGGTTAAATAAGTTAAAATTAGTAAAGTTCTTGAAATAAGGTCAGACTTATTGTAAGTTGTGCATATGTGTATATGTGTGTATGTATGTATGTGTGTGTATGTATACATTAAATTACTTTATGCTAATTTGAAAATTAGCTGTCATTGAATTGAGCAGAGAGATCCAGGAATAATTAAATGGTCACATGTCTAAACCTCAACTTTCTTTTATTACAGACACACCTGCTGAATGAATGGAAACATTAAGAAAAAACAAGCTGGGGGCACCTGGGTGGCTCAGTCGTTAAGCGTCTGCCTTCAGCTCAGGTCATGATCCCAGGGTCCTGGGATCGAGCCCTGCATCGGGCTCCCTGCTCCGCGGAGAGCCTGCTTCTCCCTCTCCCACACCCCCTGCTTGTGTTCCCTCTCTCTCGCTGTGTCTGTCAAATAAATAAAAATTTAAAAATCTTAAAAAAAAAAAGAAAAGAAAAAACAAGCTGAATATAATAATCAAAACAATGTGGTAATGGCACAAAAATAGACACATAGATCAATGGAACACAACAGAAACCCCAGAAATAAACCAAACATAGTCAATTAGTCTATAACAAAAGAGGAAGAATATAAATGGGGAAAAGACAGTCTCTTTCTGGTGCTGGAAAACCGGACAGCTATAGGCAAAAGAATAAAACTGAGCCACTTTCTTACATGATACACAAAAAATAAACTCAAAATGGATTAAAGACCTAAATATGAGAGCTGAAACCAAAAAATTCCTAGAAGAAAACACAGGTAGTAAACTTTTGGACATTGGCCTTTGCAACATTTTCTAGATATGTCTCCTGAGGTAAGGGAAATAAAAGAAAAAGTTAACTATTGGGACTACACCAAAGTAAAAAGATTTTGTACAATGACGAAAACCATCAACAAAATGAAAAAGCAGTCTATTGAATGGGAGGAGATATTTGTAAATGACATATCCAATAAAGGATAAATATACAAAATATGTGAAGAACTTATACAACTCAACACCAAAATAAAACAAAACAAATAATCTGATTACAAATGGGCAGAGGGAAAAAAAAATAGGCAGAGGACCTGAATAAACATTTTTTCCAAAGAAGATATACAAACAGACAACAGACACATGAAAAGATGTTCAACATGACTAATTAATTATCAGGGAAATGCATATCAAAACCAAAATGACATATCACCTTACAACTGTGAGAATGACTAGAGGCAAAAAGAGAAGAAATAACAAGTATTGATGAAGATGTAGAGAAAAAGGCACACTCATGAACTACTGGTGGGAATGTAAATCAGTGCACCTACTGTGGAAAACAGTATGGAATTTTCTCAAAATATTAAAAAATAGAAATACCATATGATGCAGTAATTCCACTACTGGATATTTACCCAAAGAAAAACACTAATTCAAAAAGATACATGCACCCTTATGTTTATTGCAGCATTATTTACAATAGCCAAGATATGGAAGCAACCTATGTGTCATTTGATAGATGAATGGATAAAGATGTGGTATATATGCAATGGAATATTACTCAGCCATAAAAGGAATGAAATCTTGTCATTTGCAACAACATGGATAGACTTAGAAGGAATTAGGCTAAGTGAAAAAAGTCACATCACAAATACCATGTGATTTCACTTGCATGTGGAATCTAAAAACCAAAACAAATGAACAAACAAAAAAGCAGAAACAGACCCATAAATGCAGAGAACAAAACTGATGGTTACCAGAGGGAAGAGGGTGAGGGAAAGGGAATAATGGGTGAAGGGAAGTAGGAGATACAGGCTTCCAGTTATGAAATGAATAAGACACAGGAATAAAAGGTACAGCATAGGAAATATAGTCAATGGTATTATGATAGTGTTGTATAATGACACATGGTAGGTACAATGTATAGAATTGTCAGATCACTCTGTGGTACACCAGAAATTAATAGAGAATTATGTATCAACTATACTTCAGCAAGTAAAAAAAAAGTAAAATAAGCTAAAGAAGAAAGTTTAGCATTCAAGTCAAATAGCCAAGAACAACAGAGAAACCCTATGAGAACTACAGTGAAAAAGTCATTAAGAACTCTCCTTTGCTGATTATTTATTGTATTGGCAGTAAGAGATAGTAATTACCATGTATCTCTTTTTGTAAAAACATTTGAGGGTAATAACTGTGTCTGTTTTTGTTTTGTTTTTTTTCCCAAAAGCACATCAGAGGTATGTTATTCTTTTAAGTAGTATCCTAGTTAGCTGTAGGTGGAGGAAATCTTTTCAATTGTGATCTCCTTACTGACTACTCTTATGACATAGGAGCAGCTGAGCAAAATTCACAAAAATTTCAAGAAGACCACTGGTTGTTTTTATAAGGATTCATCTCTGCTTCTGCCCCAGCTCAGAGATACAAATGAGACTATCTCTAAACACAAATTCATTAAGAGATGTAAGAAAAGAATAGAGCTATGTAGTCTTTTTACATGTTTGTAAGCAATGTTGGCTTCCCCCCGCCCAAATAACTTGCTCAGATTTCAGATTATTTCAGGGGATAGCATTGTTCACTAGAATCTATTAATGACTTTTGAATACAGTGTGTATGTAGCTAAAGTGATCAAAAGTGAACAAATATTCTTCTGACTTTGGGGCACCTGGGTAGTGCAGTTGGTTGGGCCTTTGACTCTTGGTTTCGGCTGGGGTTGTGGTATCGGGGTCCCGAGATGTGTCGGGATGTGTCTGCTTGTGATTCTCTCTCCCTCTCCATCTGCTCCTCCCTGCCCACTGCCCTGCTGGGCATGCTCTCTCTCTCTCTCTCAAATGAATAAATCTTGTAAAAAATAAAAAAATAAAAAATATCTTCTGACTTTAAATTCCATTACATTTGTTGCCTAGACAGTATGGGCTGTTCCCCTTTGATTTACCCATATTTACTGCACATGAATTTCTTTTATCACTTAAAAACTCTTAGTTTCCTCATCAAATAAGAAAAGATAGCAACATGTGAAAGAAAGTGACGTTTCTTCTCATCGTAACTCTTTTGGTACTCCCATTGACTCAAAGGAATACAGAAAGAAGAAAATGGCTTTTTAAACAGAGAGTAAATGGTTCTGAATATCCTTGGCTTTTTGTGTTTAATGTCATTTAAATAGTTGGACCTAGCACTCTCTATTGAATTTATCTTGGTAAAAATAATAAAAATATCATGAAAATATTATCTATGCAAAATTATCAGTACAGATAGATTTTTAAGTTCAAGCATCATTGGTAGCGATTGTTTCATTTTAATCTCAATGGCGGGATGTAATTTCCTGTTAAAATAAAACATATTTCTGGGGCGCCTGGGTGGCTCAGTCGTTAAGTGTCTGCCTTTGGCTCAGGTCATGATCTCAGGATCCTGGGATCGAGCCCCATGTCAAGTTCCCTGCTCCACAGGGAGCCTGCTTCTCCCTCTCCCTTTGCCTCTCCCCCTGCTTGTGCTCTCTCTCGCTATCTCTGTCATTGTCTCTCTCTATCAAATAAATAAATAAAATCTTTAAAATAAAATAAAATAAAACATATTTCCAAAATTATATCTAGAAAAATGTAATACAAATTATTCTGGAGCCTAATTTTCACACAAACTCACAGTCTCTCAAATATTTGGCTTTTTGTTAATTACTAAAATTGACTAGAACATTCAAGACTAAGTTAAAAGTATGTACTACTGAAAAGTGTGTTTCTTTTTAACCTGCCTCAGCAAGGGAAGGAGAAAGGAAGGAATGAGGGAAAGGAATAGAGGGAGAGGAGAAAGAAGGGAGAGTGGAAGGAAGGGTGGGAGGGGCAAAAGGAGAAAAAAAAGAAAGGAGGGAGAGAGATCAGAATGGAGGAAAGGAGGAAAGCAGGAAGGTAGGAAAGAAAGAAGAAGGGTGTAGAGGGCTCAAGGGTGAGTGGGGAGATCCAGAGAAGAAGAAAACAGAGAGAAAGAGAAACAGAGAGAGAGAGAGGGAAGTTCCTTTCTAAGAATTTTTTTTAAATGTATGCATATAAAATTGACTCTGGTTCAGAACATGAATAACTTTCATTCTTTTGCTCTTAAATGGCTCACTGGATTAGGAAAAAGTCACCTTTATGTCTACACACAAAAATTCTACATTATTGTGTACCATGTAAGATACCACAAAACATGTGTTTCTCAACAGTCAACACTATGGCCTGGAATTTGGTCAGATTAAAGAGCAAATGAAACTCTAGAGCAGTGGTTTTCAACCAAATGCAATTTTGACCTCCCTAATCTGGGGCGTGGGGGTGGGGACATTTTGCAATGTCTGCATAGATTTTTTATTGAATGACTGAGGAGGAGGTGCCCTTGGTGTCTAGTGAGTGGAAGCCAGGTGCCCTTGGTGTCTAGTGAGTGGAAGCCAGTTAGAAGTGGAACTCCTAACTATCCTTCAATGCCCAGGGCGGCCTCTCACAACACAAATTTATCTGGGCTGAAGTGTTAATAGTGTCACTGTTGAGAAATTTTGCTTAGAAAGAAACCTTTGTCCTGTCCTCACAGTGCATGCTCAGTTAAGGAAAATGCTCTGCACAAGACACAATTATTGAAGCAGATCTGAAAGTTCTCATTAGAAGATGATGGAGGATGGTGGTTAAGCACAAAGAGGTGTGGGCCTTGAAGTCATTCAGATATGGTTTGGGAGTCCTAGATCTTTTCGTTAATACCAAAAAATTTAATTTGACTGAGACTCAGTCTCCCCATCTGAAAATGGAGATCATAAAAGCTAATTTTTCTATTTGCTTAGACATAATTACGGGATAGTATTACACTCAGAGCCTGGAACATGAATAGTTGATACATTAGCATGTATTATTGTTGTTATTGTTATCATTCTGTAAGCGTGAAATTAAACACATATTAAGAAATTTCTAGGCTTTCCACCAGTTCCCTCCTGTCCTCCAAGTTAACTAAAATTCACATCACTTACATTTCAGCTTATGAAAAGGAAACCTAAGCAAATTTATTTTTCATCACAAGCATGAAGACCTGCCATCAGCTCACTCCTTTCTAGTTCACATTTTTATAGACTTCTATTCTACTGTTTCATTAACATATGTTCTTCTTTATTATAAACTTCTTAGTCATTGCCTAGGTTTTAAAAAATATTATAGCTAAGCACCCAGGTAGTTATTTATCTTGAATAATTAACAACATTTAATGCCATCTTATAAGTGTAGACATTGAGATGCATAAAAGCAGTAAAAAGAGCAGACAGAGGGTGTGTGTGTGTGTGCGTTTGTGGTCTACTAATTGTTATATATAAAACTCAGAACATATAATTCACTCATGATTCTAAGGACAGATATTATGATCCACTTTTTTTTTGATCTTTGCATTTCTACAAATCACAGTACCTTTTCCTGAACAATGAATAAAGATACCTATTAATCAGCAATCAGTCACTCAAAATTAGTGATTAG